GCTTTACAATGGTGTGTTAGTTTCTGCTTTATAACAAAGTGAATCAGTTATACATATACATATACATATGTTCCCATATCTCTTCCCTCTTGAGTCTCCCTCCCTCCCACCCTCCCTATCCCACCCCTCTAGGTGGTCACAAAGCACCGAGCTGATCTCCCTGTGCTATGCGGCTGCTTCCCACTAGCTATCTGTTTTACGTTTGGTAGTGTACATATGTCCATGACACTCTCTCACTTTGCCTAGAGTCTGTCATACAGAGTGAAGTAAGTCAGAAAGAGAAAAACAAATACCGTATGCTAATGTATATATATGGAATCTAAGAAAAAAAAAAAAAAAAGGTCATGAAGAACCTAGGGACAAGACAGGAATAAAGACACAGACCTACTAGAGAATGGACTTGAGGATATGGGGAGGGGGAAGGGTAAGCTGTGAGAAAGCTCTGTGCTTTTGTACTATTCTCTTTGCCTAATATTTCCCTTCCCATGTTTATCCAGTTAATTTGGCCTCTTCCAAAACTCTGCTTAATCATCACTGCCCAGAGAAAGCCTTCTCACACCTCGCAGTCTGAGTCAGGCTCCTCAGTCTGGGATCCTATACATCTCTCTCTTGGATGTGATAGAGGTAACGGAAGCTCCTTCAGGACAAGTTCCAGCTCAGCTTTGGGTCCTAGCTTCTGGCATCATACCTGGCCAGTGTCAGACACTCAGTAAACGTGGTGTCAGAGATTCTTAAAACATCTGACAGGCTGCCATATGTCTTGTAAAGTAGGCAGCATCCTTCCAACCCCGTCACTTCCCTCCTCTGACACGTTATATTGTTGTAGCCACCAAACAGTATTGTTATTGCAGTAATATGTTCAAATCCTACAGGGAAACTGCCCTGCTGAAGTTAATCTTGTGATAGCATTTCAACTGTGTTACCAGAAGGGGGCGCCAGAATATAATGTCCAAGTTCATATTATTTTAGATAAGGGCAAACAATGAGCGGTTGCCAAGATTTTAGAAATATGTATAAATGTTACCTAACTATTAGTGTATTTTAAAGTTAGGATATTTGCATAGCCTTTTCCCCCCCTTTTTCCTTCAATTACAGGGAGCAAACAGTCTTAGGAAAATTTACTAGACAACGTGTGAGAGCAGTTTGAGAATGCTTGCTCTGGTAGCGGTGGGGGGCAGAATTTCAAGGACTTTGCTACACTTCTCTTCCATAATATGTTACTGCGAGGGCTGACTGTTCAAGGTATGAAGTAGTTTATTAATTTCTTGCCCAAATGAATCCCAAAACAGTGTGCCCAACCTCATTAACAAGCAGTGGTCAGTACGTTTGGTTTCTGATAAAATATTGTTATAAGCCTTTGTCATAATGACTGAATTACTGTTTGGACAGTGTGAGCTAGAGAGCTATAAACTCACTTGCTGAAGTAATCAGGGTTGCTTATGGTTTTACCATTTTCTGTCCCTATTTTGATTGTGTAGGACTTAAATCTGGCTGTAAAGTTTTTTATCTGCCCTTGATATGCTAGCAATTATTAGAACCTTTAGATTTCTATCAGGTTGTCTCATATTAATATAGTTGAGAAGCTTCAGATATGAGTATATTACTTGCTTTCAGTTCGTAATTGTTAAACGTGAGTGTTGCTTCTTCCTTGCTATTTAAAAGCACTTACAGATAAAATTTGTATTATCTTTAGTTGGCTTATATTCAAGCTTTCCAGTGTTGATTCACAAGCAGAATGAAGAAAGCTTAACTTCTGTTGATATATAGGATTCCTGTTTAGATAACACTAAACATGCACATAACACTAAGTGCCGTGTATTAACTCATTTAATCTTCAAAACAACCCTCTGAGATATAGTTACTCTTTTTATGCCTATCTTGCATATGAGGAAACCAAAACACAGAGAGGTTAAGTAATGTGCCCCAAAACACACAGTTAGCAGGTGGCAGAGCTGGAATTTGAACTTGGGCCCCAGAGTCCACATTTTCAGCCACCACACAATATTGCCTTAAAAATATAGGCTTTCCCATAAATATCTATAAAAGGAAAAAAAAATCTATAAGTAGTTTATTTCTTTAAAGATCAGATGTTTCCAAGTGTGTGATATTTGCATACTCTGGAAACTGTTGCCAGATGAACAACCTGCATTAGATTGGAGACCATTTACTGTTTTTAAGTAATCTCTTGTCTTTCCTGTCTTTGTTCCCTATTTTTAGGTTAAAACTTTCCTGGAAAAATGCCATATCTTACTATTTTCTGTGTTTCTGACTAAAAACAAAACTATGTGAAGGAAAGCCAAAAAAAATTGCCATTATTTATACCAAGTCATGGCAACAACTTCATATATCCAGAAAGACAGTATCTCTATTTCTGTTCCTTGTATCCCTGTTCTTTTACTCGTACTACCATCCTCCCAGTGGTCCACATTCAAAATAAGGTCATCTTTGATTCTCTCTTAGGCTTCACATCTCATGAGTTGCCAAGTTTTTTCTTTTTTTTTTAAACTCTGTAGTGTTTTTCACACATTCCCCCCCCCTTTATTTTTCTGCCCTGACTCCAGTGAGCTCACTCTTTTATATGTGCAAAGTCTTCTAACCAGTCTCTCTAATACATTTCACCTACTTGTGCTTTTGAAAGATTAATCTGACATTGGTCATTTCATCGTGATGGAAATTCTTCCTGTTTCCCCATTGCTTACCAAGTAAAGATAACAGTATTTAGCCTCCTACTCGGGGCCCTCCACGATCTGAGGTTGAGAAAAATGTTGAGCCTTTTTCGCTTTCTCCTTTTCACATGTTCTCTGCTCCAGCTCACTTCTTATAGCCATCCTGTGTTTTATTGTCTCTGTGCATTTGCTCAGCCAAGATGCCCTCCCCCTTTCATTTTTATATTATAGGTATTCTCTGCTCCAGCTCACTTCTTATAGCCATCCTGTGTTTTATTGTCTCTGTGCATTTGCTCAGCCAAGATGCCCTCCCCCTTTCATTTTTATATTATAGGTAAATCATGTTAACTATTCTTTGAAGCCTACATCTGTGAGTTTCATCTTTTGATGCCTGAATGTATACTTGGACAGACATCTTTGACCACTGGCTGAATCCCCTGTGGTTCTCTGACTTGTGGGTGAGGGACCATTATGGTAGCAAGGGTTAAGTGGAAGTCACTGGAACTTTCCTTCCCTGCCGAGATAGAAAACCAGAAGCAGTACTGCATCCTGAGGAATGTGCAGACATTTGTGCCACCGTCAAAGACTTGAAAATGCAAGAGTCGTGCTACGTATCATATCCCCACTTAATTCACTTAGATTCTCTGCTCCAGCTCACTTCTTATAGCCATCCTGTGTTTTATTGTCTCTGTGCATTTGCTCAGCCAAGATGCCCTCCCCCTTTCATTTTTATATTATAGGTAAATCATGTTAACTATTCTTTGAAGCCTACATCTGTGAGTTTCATCTTTTGATGCCTGAATGTATACTTGGACAGACATCTTTGACCACTGGCTGAATCCCCTGTGGTTCTCTGACTTGTGGGTGAGGGACCATTATGGTAGCAAGGGTTAAGTGGAAGTCACTGGAACTTTCCTTCCCTGCCGAGATAGAAAACCAGAAGCAGTACTGCATCCTGAGGAATGTGCAGACATTTGTGCCACCGTCAAAGACTTGAAAATGCAAGAGTCGTGCTACGTATCATATCCCCACTTAATTCACTTAGAAAACGTAGAAAAGTCAAGCGGATTTTGGAAAATAACCGTGAACTTCCATAAACTTAAGCAGGTGATTAAGCGATCACAGCCTCAGTCCTGTGGGTGGGGTCTCTATGCAGCACAGTCCCTGGCCTTGCTGCCGCTGTTGCCTTAGCTGATGCCTTCTCTTCACACCAGTCTGCAGTGACCACCAGCAGCTGTTTCTTGTACCTGGCAGGACCAGCGGTACCCCTGTACAGTGTTGCCTCAGGACTGTGTCAGTTTTGCCGTGTGCAGTATATTATTAGCCCCCAGAGATTTTGCTCACCTTGGTGTGCCGTACTGTATTGGTCTGCCCCGTTGACCATGTTATGCTGTTTGGGTCTGAGGCTTAGGAAGTAGCACATACTACAAATGCCTTTGTAAGACACGTGAGCAAGAGGATGGGAGATGAACGCTGCTTCTAACCAAATCCGCTTCAGTCATGGTCCAGCCAGGAGACAGAAACCACCTCGTAATCTGCAGGGGAGATTTAATGTATGTAATTATTAACTAGGAAGAGTAGTTAGCTGCTAACAGGTGAGAGAATGCAGAAACAGCCGATGAAGGAAGCGCGACTACAGCCTTTAGGGCTGAGGGAAAGTGCCCCAGGAAGGAGCAAACTGGGAAGAGCCCTCCCTGCCCCGCAAGGCTGGATTTACCTCCGTGGAGGAGGGTGTGCAGTGGCCCCAGACGTGGCAGAGCCCTGGGGTGCCAGGGCCAGAGCTGGTGCGTGGAAGCTGCCTGCTGGCTGGCAAAGGACCACCCTGAGGGAGAGCCACTCTGGTCCCCCGGCACACAGGAGGCGGCAGAGCAGATGGAGGAAGGAAAAGGCCACCGACACCAGGGAAGAAGCCCTTTCCTCTCCCCAGGCTTGCAGTCCCGCCAGCGCTCTCTGTGCTGCGCTTATCTTCTCAAAGAACCAGCTACGCATCCATGTTCATTTTCTCCACTGTGTTTTCTGTTTCATTGGTTTCTCCCCTTGTCTATATTATTTCCTTCCTTTTACTTACTTTGGGTTTATTTTGTTCTTCCTTTTCTAGCTTCTTCAGGTAGCATATTTGATTTTTCAAATTTCTCCTATCTTTTTATCATAAGCGTGTTTTCCTTTCCCTCACTGAGCATCGTCATGGTAGCTGCGTGCAGGTCCCTGTCTGGCAGATAATCCCAGCATCTGAGTCATCTCAGAGTTGGCGTCTGTTGATTGTTTATTTCCTTGCAAAGGGGTTTTCATTTTTCTGGCTCTTTTGTTGAGTAATTCTGGATTGTGTCCGGGGCGTTGCGAACATGACATTGTTGAGGCCCCGAGGTCTCTTGCTGTTGCTTCAGAGACTTGCTCCGGGCATTTAGCAGACAGTGGACTTGGTTAGACTCATGGAGCCTCAGGTGCAAGCATTCGTGGCTCCAGTGTCAGTCAGACGTGACTCAGGTGGATGTCCGTCAGTTTAGTTCTGTACCTCCCATCTTTCTGAGACCCCCGCACACTTCAGTGATCCTTGTTGCCCCAAGATGCTCTCCCCTGATTCCGGTGGCCAGAAAGACGGCAGGGTTTTCTCTAGGGCTTTTGTTCCCCAGAGCTGCCAGCCCCAGGCTGCCTTCAGACGGAGCTACCAAGGAACTGGAAACTCATTCCATGTGGGTGCTTGTTCAGCTTTCAACTTCTTTCCCAAATCTGCCTGCTTCTGCTCGGTCTCCAGAGCCCTCAGGCAGTCTGTCTTTTGTATTTTGTCTAGAGTTTGTAGCTGCTTCTCGTGGGAGGCTCAGCCCAGCCCTCGCTGAAGCTCCCTCTCCCCTCCCTCTCCCCTCCCTCTCCCCTCCCTCGCTCCTTCCCACCTTCTCTCCTTCCCACCTTCTCTCCTTGCCTGTCTTACCCCTCCCTCTCTGCTCTCTCTGAAGCTTGCCCCATTTTAAAGTTTCCTTTGAGGGAGGGGGGATTCTTAATTCTGAGTTACCAGAGGACACATCGTTGTAGCCTGCAAGTCCCGAGGAGCCCACGTTTGAGAACAGTGTAATAAAGGCATAATATTGCCTTGTCCATTACAAAGATTACTGCTACTTCACGATGCCTGCTATGTACTAGACACTGTGCAAAGTACTTTACATGGGCTGTTCCATTTCATCCTCACAGCAGACACCTGAGCTTGGTGATGGCGTCCCCACCTTACAAATGACGAAAGAGAGACTGGGTTAGCTCAGTCATCCAAGGTCAACGAGGTGATAAATGGTAGAGAAAGAAATGCAGAAGTACATGCCATTTATACCATTTTTAAAAGCAGCAGCTAAATATATGATCCAATTAAATTCTCATATTTTATGTACTTTGAAGCCTCAGCATTATATAAAATAGATCACATAGGATTATTTTTCTGAAACCCAGGAACTCTGAATCACTGATCTGCTTTGGACCAAATCTGGTAGACAGTCCACATAGACCAATATATTCAGCTTTGTTGTGTTGTTCCAGGGAGGAATTATGTCGAATTCTCAACTCTACGAAATTACTGAGAAATGCCCTCATATTCTGATGCGTTCTTTCGGTAGATAATCTAGTCGCGTATGTCTTAATTCAGCAGAAGTGCCAGCTGCCTTGTGGGCGTGCCTGTGGCCCTGTTGATGGACTTGCTGGAAGGGTTGTATGCCTCTCCAACAGGGTCATCCTGGGAGTGGCTCAGCTGCAGACAGGGCAGGGGGATACTCATCGGCTTTGTTTGATTCAGGACCTGGGAAGAATTGAAATGTCGAGGTTTAGTTATTTATGTTTACTTAGCCTTGAAGACATAAAATATGAACAAACCAGTTGTTGTATTTGACATTTTTCAAACTTTTTCTTTCAAAGGCCTGTTCAGGTCCCCATTTTCACTTTGCATTGAGAGCTCTTAGATGTTTCCCTTTTCCTATTTATTAGACGCATCTCGGAGGCAGGGGCCAAACTGAACTCCCAGTCCCAGCAAACTGCTTGATTCCAATCAACTTTTAGATGTTCGAGGAATCGGATGTTAGGTAAAGGTACTCAGGGGTATGACAGCTTTACAGCAGCTTTGCTTCTGAGTTGTTCCATGATCTTGGGCAAATCATTCTGCTTCTGGGTTTCTTGGGATTAAAAATATGGAAGCTACTACTTTATATAACAGTCTGGGAAGAGTGCTCATTGAAATAAAAGTGCTGTTCTTAGTGAAATAATTTTACATTTGTATTTAACATCAAGATGCTGTAGACCTTAGCCAGTGGCTTCTTGGACACTTGATGGCATAAAGTTAGACACAGGGGAACAGTGCCAGGGCATCTTCGTGCTCTGATGGTGAGTGGAGGCCCAGACACTGGTAGTTCTGAAGGGTTTAGATACATTTCCAAGATCTGGCTGAGGTCTGCTCTGACCTGGCTATGCCTTTAGCTATTAAAGGGAAATTGTTTGGTCAGATTACCTTAAGTAAACATTATTACATAGCAGAGTCATTTGTTTTTGTTTTAAAGCAAAAAAACCCTTTTAATTTGGAATAATTTTAGACTTGTAGAAAAGTGGCAAAAATAGTAAGAGCTCCCAAAAGCTTCTCCCAGCTTCACCCAGCTTCTCCTAATGTTGACATCTTGCATACCATAGTACAGATATCAAAACCAGGATACTCACATAGGTACAGTATTATTAAGTAAACTACAGACTTTATTCAAATTTCACCAGCTTGCCCACTAATATCTTTTTCTCTCTGCTCCGGGATCCGATCCAGGACCTGACATGGCTTTCAGTTGTTGAGTTTCTTCGGTCTCCTTTAATCTGTGACGGTTCCTCAGTCTTCCCTCGTCCTTCATGACCTTGACACCCTTGAAGGTTATTGGTCAGTTTTTTACTAGGATATCTCTTCATGTGGGTTTGTCTCATGACGTCTCGCGATGAGGCTGAGGTTGCACGTTTGGGCCGGGAATCCCACAGAAGTGCTGCTGGGCCCTTCTCTGCCCGGCGTCAGGGGGAGCATGATGTCGATAATGTCTCGTTACTGGTGATGCTGATCTTGATGACTTGGTTAAGGTGGCATCTTTTGGGTTTCCCCATTGTAAAGTCACTACTTCTCCCTTTGTAATTAATGAGTATCTTGGAAGAGAGAATTTGAGAATATGGGAATATACTGTTTCTCCTTAAACTTTCACCACTAATTTAGCATCATTGGTGGACTGGCCTTGCAGTAGTTATCACTGTGCTCTTTGCCTAATGGTGAATTTTCTGCTTCCCTCATTCCTTCTACCTTTGTCAGCTGGAATTCTGTAAAGAATACCTGCCCCTTCTCCCTAATTTTTTTTTAATGTATTCAGTCATTTGTTTTTATCAGTATGGACTTATGGATAGTTATTCTGTGAGTTATGTGTCCAGGTCTATCATTATTCATTGCGTTGCTCCAGTTGTTCCCACTGTGGCCATGGGGAGCTACTGCATATCAGCTCCGGTGTCCTCCTGACACAACTCATCCTGTTTGAAGCTCTTCCTAGGTGGCAGCGCAAGACGATCCAGGCTCATCTTGTATTTTCGGCCTCTTCTGTGGAGTCAGCCACTTCTTCATGGAGCCCTGGCTCCTTTTAGTGGCTGTTAAATTGATTTTCAACAGAAGTACCAAGCAATGTAGTGGGGACAGAAATGTCTTTTCAGCAAGTGATGCTGGAACAGCTAGGTATCCGTATGGGGGAGAAAAAGGACTTGACTCTTACACCTCATATCATACACAAAAGTTAACTTGAAATGTGTCATAAGACCTAAGTGTAAAAACTGAAACAATAAAATTTCCAGAAATTTTAATTTAAAAAACCTTTGCAACCTTGGAGTAGGCAAAGATTTCCTAGGAGGACATAGAAAACATGAACTATAAAAAGAAAAAAATGATAAGCTGGAATTCATCAAAATTAAAAACCTCTGTTCTCAAAGTCCCCATTAAGATAATGAAAAGACAGTCTACATGCTGGGAAAAAGATTTGTGATACACGTATCCAACAAAGGACTTGTGTCCATGAAATAAAAAGAATCTTAAAATTTAATAAGAAGACAGAAAAGCCAACTTGAAAAATGAGCAGATCTTTGAGCAGAAATTTCACAAAAGTAGATACATAAAGTGTCCAGTAAGCACATGCAGAGATGCTTAGCACCATTGGTCTTCAGGGAAAAGCACACCACTCATATGGCTAAAATGAAAAAGACCGACGGTACCCGAGCTGGCAGTAATGCCGAGCAGTTGGAGTTTTCACATGTTGCTCATTGGAATGCAAAATGGCACAACACCCTGGAAAAGAGTGTGGCGTTTTCTTATCAAAGGAAATATACCTTTAACCGTATAACCAAGCAATTCCATAACGTAAGTCCACAAAAGAGCTTTGCCCTCTCAAGTCCAAAATAGCTTCACTCACAATAGCCAGACACTGGAGGCTGCCCAGATGAACCTGAACAGGTGAATGGGTAACAAATTCTGCTGTACCATGTAATGGAATCCTGCTTAAGATTACAAGAAATGAGATAACGACGAAGCCACAGCATGGATGAACCTCCTTCACACTGTGCTGAGTGAAGGAAGCGGACTGGATAGTGCACTCCATGATTCATTATATGCGACGTTCTGGAACAGACACAACTAAGTCTTCAGTGACAGGAAGGAAATGAGTGTGTCCGCAGAAGAGGGGTGTCGGTGTCGTGCCTTGTACTGTAGGTGGCTCACTGAGTTTGTCATCTCAGTCTGCTGAGATGTCGTGGGCACCCTTTGACCTCCTTCATTCTGTCCCTCTGTTTGTTCTCAGGTGGATCTATCTTAATGACCAGAATTTATGCATCCCCGCCAGTTCCTCTTTTGTGTACGGAGCTGTCCCCATAGGAGCCAGTATCTATGTCATCGGAGATCTTGATACAGGTCAGAATGTTACAGTGATCTTGTCGGAACCGTTTCCCGGTGATTCTGAGGCACGGTGTGTCACCTCTGCTTATTCTCACGGCGCAGGTACCAATTACGACTACGTGCGCGAGTTCAAAAGGAGCACGGGAACCTGGCACCACACCAAGCCCCTCCTCCCCTCCGACCTGCGCCGCACCGGGTGTGCAGCCTTACGTATTGCGAATTGCAAGCTTTTCCGCCTGCAGCTTCAGCAGGGCTTGTTCCGCATCCGCGTTCACTCACCTTGACGGGGCCGCGGCGCGGAAGCGGAGCTCCTGACCAAGCGCGCCGGGACGCGGCGCTCTGCGAGGGGACAGAGATGGCAGGCGACCCTTGCTCTGCGCCGGCCTCTGTGCGGTAACACGAGTGGTTTTCTAACGCTTAGAAGCCTGGGCTTCCAGCTCTTGTTCGGGAGAACACGTAACTGCTGAAAAAAAACGAGGAAGAGTCAGTTCCTCCAGGAGATGTGTCCCTAGACCAACCGGGCTAGTCAGCGTCAGAGGAAAAGGGAAGTGGGAATCCGTGTCATGTAAAATCAGGAAGTTACAGCACCAAGGTGCATGTTCCCCGCGGGGAACTCACGTCTGCCTGACCGCTCTGTTCGAGTACCTGGCTTTGGTTAACAAACGAGCAAACATGCATATATCAACATATCCAAACATACCGGGGTTGCTTTTCCACTGCACTTGGAAGGAGATATTATGCCTAACTCTGCCCAACAATTTAAGGTTTGTGCCTAAAATGTTAGATTGGACTCAATGCCAGTTAGTCTCCACTTACTACTAGTTCCCTGTCCTAAGAATCTTTTTTAAACTAAATTATGATGAATTGAAACTAAGATAAAATTTCTCTTTTATGACATTCTATCTTAGTAATCCAAAGGATTCAATGAATTAAGGAGTCAGGTGGCAGCCCTCCCACGAATTTAAAGGAAGTTGCTGACTTCTGTGTTAATTCAGATGAAGATGTGTCATGCCGTCATTTCTGGGGTTGTGAAGGATCTCATGCAGTGCCAGTCTTCCTTTCCAACTAACCAGAACTGTTTTATAAATATGAGGGTATTAGTGAGTAGGAGATTTTGTAAAAGAAGGACCTGAGCCGGACAAATAATAAAGGTCTGCTATGACCAAAAAAAAAAAAAAAAGTCCAGAGGAAATATATAGGGATCAAAAACTTTTAAAAGCAATCTGTCTGAAAGCACACAGAGTCTTGTTTACTACTGTCTAGGATTTGAAAACGTGTCTTGGAATGCGAATCCACGTTAAGAATCTAGTCTTTGTAGCAGAATTTTCTCAATGCCGTTCACTAGTACGAGATTCAGACAAATTACAAGTAAAGGTTGGCTGGTAGAATAAACTACCTCAACTTAATTTCGTTCTGTTCCTGTAGAGCAAATTAATCCTTTCCTCCTTCCCTCCCTCTCACTCCCATGTCGACCCACTCAACCCCACTCCTCAAAGTGGAAAAAGTCTGTCATTAGTGGTACTTACCTTGTAAGATATTTTGTTTTCCATTCGAATTATACCACCTTAGTGTGAAACCAAGGAGTTCAAAGTGCTTGATGACTTAATCATTTGAATTTTATGCAATATCAGATTTCTGATCAATTTAATACAGAGCTCTTCATTTCTAATTGTTTTCTACAGTTTCCCCCCCCTTAGTATATGGCTGTAAGAAGCAGCATTTAGTCTTAATGATTAATAAATGTATAAGTGTATCCTTTGGTTATAAATTTGAGAATAGGAATTTCTCCTAGAAACTTCCTACCTGGAATGTCTGTATGCTTTACCCATGCATATGAAACATCACTTGTCTTTTCCCACCCAGGAACAGTAGAAGTCAATCCAGTGCTAGAAAAGTCACTGAGCAGCCTTGTCTGTGGGAATTCTAAAGAATGTTGTGTGTGCGCATTAACTCTCCATCCTGGCAGAGACATGGGTAAAAGGAGGTATAGGGTTTTCCTCTTCTCTATCAGAGGCACTGGGCCAGATTTGCCGGCCATTCACATAACAGTCAGATTTGACGCGTAAGTCAAAGCCAGCCTCTTTGCTTTGTACCGTGTACCAGTCAGCAGTTGTCTGCATGCTTTCCCCAGGATACCTTGGGTGTCTTCTAATCAAAGCAAACTGCATGGCCACTGCAAAGAAAGAAAACTTTCTTTGTACAACTAGATGTTAGTTTTAGAGGAAATAAATTTCTGAAAAAGTGGATTTTCTTTGGTAAAATGTCCCATACAGAACAGAACCTTGGCCATCAGAAGCCACAGCTGAGGTACATTAAAGTGGTAACTAATGTCCTATTAAAGCGATGACAGTCAGCAATTCTCTTTTCTTTAATTTCTGAAATTTAAAGTCCTTCCCAGGCTACGCCAGGCCCCTCCAAGGAGACAGTTCATTGTTTAGGAGTGAATGGGTCCCTGTTGCAGTATTATCAGTGCCTGCATGACTTGGTCAATTCATTTTATAAAAGTAGTTTGTTTTTTTTTTTAATTTAGTTCATTGACACTGTAGCTGCAGAAATTAGGTAACTTTTTTAAAATTAAATTTGCTGCATAATATGGGATGCAATAAACAAGAAAAGCTGCTAAGTGCCAAACTGTTATTTTACTATATAATAATATAAAAATATTACATTGAAGTGTAGGCATGTATTTAATTTTATTATATTCCAAAATTAATCATGACTTTTTTGTAAATTAGCTACTTTAGTATCGTGAAAAAATTATTTTAACTAATTTCACACAGGTTTGTGTTTTAGCCATCCATTTATGCCTTGAAATACCCTTTCTTGGTAAATTTTTGATAGTTCTTTTTCCATTAGGCACTTTTATCAGGTGTATATTGGAATTAGCAGCGAAAGATAGATCTTAAAATTTTAAATACAGTATCTTTGGGGGAAGTGCAATTTATTTTCATTATCCACCAACAGAAGGAAAGTTGACTCAGCTTAGAGTAATTTAAAGTATTTCTTCTAGGCTACGGTCTAAAGTAGGTTTGTTTCTTTGCTTAACACATCCAAATACAGATGTTTTTTCAAAGATTTAAGTGTTTAATTTAAAATGAAGTTTAAAATTTTTTTGTGATAGTGCTTATATCCTGTGAGAGTAAAAGTGTGAGAGAGAGTGTGTCTGTGAGTGTGTGTATGTGTGTGATGTGACTAGCTAAGTCTGTTTGTATATGTTTAGCTTTGGAATTGTCGTTCCAAACTACATATATTATTGTCTCCTGGTGCTTCAGATAAATTCTTGAGCCTGTGGTCCTTCAGTTTATACTACTGTGTTAACTCATGTTGAGTGTATATATTGACGTATTTGTAGTTTGTAGTAAGTTTTACTTGGCGTTTGCATTTCTTTTCTTTAGCATATTAAAAACAGTGTTAGTGTTTACCAACTCATAGTTGGTATGTTATAAAGATTTGGCCTAAGAAATTTCTAAATTCATCGTGTCTTTTACTGCTATGAGGAGTTGATAGCTGACAGTAGACTTTTTTCAAGCTGTGCAACCACCAGAAGAGAGTATCTGGGGGATGCTGGACGGCATGTTGCTTGCCTTGAAGTGTTCTGTTATCTTGCACGACCACTTTAATGATGGCACTTTCTTCGGTGATGCTTTGGAAGTGCCATTTTGTCATTTATGAGTGAGGAGTTCCCTAGGCAATGCATGGGAGATACATCCTTTATATTGATGTGGTAAAGACAGGGCTCCTTCGCTGTGGCACTGCAGTTACTCAGGGTAGCAAGTTAGGTTTTTAGAGAAATGTGTTAGCTGCTTAGGTCCTTTGGGGTTCCGTTTGGTGTGTTCCTGCTTCATTGCACCAAACCAGGGATCTCCAAAAGTTTTCCAAGGAGCATTAAAAACACTGCAGTATTACCTTCCGGAATGTTGTTTTTCTTCATTCAAGAGGAGGCTGCCTGTGATCAGGTGAAGACATGTGATTATCCGGGGAAAGAATGAGGTGGCACTTTCACCACATCAGTTTTGAAGGTGCTGGAACCCCCGTACAGAGCACCCAGTGGAAGGGAAGGGAAGGGTGAGGCTGCTCTGGTTCGGTGGCCGCCCCTGGAGCCGTGAGAGAAGAGACTCCAACCGGCACAGAAAAGCCCACCCTGGGTTTAATCAACAGTGTTGATTGAGCACCTACTCAGAATTCTGCTTGGGTTTCTGGGGAGCTTCACAGTGAGGCAGATGAAATCCTGCCCTCCCTCTAGACTGTAAACTCCTTGTGGGCAGGAACCCTACTTTAGTCTTCTGCTAATCCTAGTGCTTGGCACACAGTAGGTAGTCAATAAATGACCAACGAATACAGTGTCCTTGTGATCCAGGTGACCTTCTACACAGGATTGAAAGGGACTTACTTTTAAGTGAGAAACTTTGCACACAGATAGGCCGGCCTCATAATACAGAGTGGGAAACCAGTACAGAATAAAAAACGGAAAGTGCCTGACTTATATGTGACGCACAGCTCTGTGGTCTCCATATGTTCTGGAGGATTTTTGAGACCCTGTACTCAGCACACCCAATAATGTTTACGGCATCTAATGTTGGGTTTTGTTCACTGCTTTTTCTGTGGGGCTCAAAATCTTTTCCAGAACGTACTGCTTTGATCCTCACATCTCTGTGATGGGTGCAGTGCTCTCCATTGGACAGAAAGCAGCCTTTGAGGCCCAGTAGATACAGCTTCATTCCCCGCTTCAGATGTGAGTAGAAGCCAAAAAGTGGAATCTGGTCTTTGGATTATCAGTTTCACTGTTCAGTGTATTAGAATATCACTTAATTTTTTAGGCATACAAGTATTTTTAATCGTATGATAATCATTTATGGTATAACTTAAACCCCCAAACATATCCTTTGCAAGTTGCACAAATATAAACTAAAAGATCTTTGGTTTTCTTTGTCATTTAGCTGTGGGAAATTTAAGAATTTACTAAAGTTGTAAGAACAGAAGTCATAAGCGTTTGAGTTTGAGAGAGAAGCTGTTTTTACTTTTAAAAGCTGAAGCTTCATTTATCCTTCCCTTTCTTACCACATCTAATCAGTAAGGGAAAAGATACTGTGTCTTAGAATGTTGAGGGAAGCATTTTGCTAGCTTTCTAGTAATCCCTGAAGTATTCCCTAGAGCTGGTTGGTAGAAGTTTATGGTACAAGGGTGAGGAATGCCCCACTTGCCCACATTTGAGGGGAGTGTGAACTCAGGTGAGTTAATCCTGTCTGCTGGCAGCGGAGTCCTCCTGGTCTTGAACTGGAGACTTCCTCTATTTTTTGGCAAACCAGCTAGTAAAAATCCTAAATTTTTTGTAATTTTGTTTCAGAGGTAATTCTATTATTTTAATTTTAAACATATCTCAACTTGGTCTCTGCAGTATGTGACGTGTGAGAAGCTCGGATGTAACTCTGTATTCTTTGGACCGATGCATACTGCTTAGGAAAGCTAGTTCTTTTCAATTCTATCATTGAAGTTCCCTAAACGAATGGATTTTTAAACGCCTTCCCTTTCTTATGAAATCAGATATCTAATAACGTTGCATAATGATCTAGTGAGAAATGTCTGTTGCCTTCTCTTTTTCATGTTGAGATAAAACTCATCTTTTAAAATTGCTACTCACCTGAAATTTAGGCTAATTATAATTTTTGATATTGACGTCTTCATGGCCCAACAAAGTTGTTGTAGACTCTTAAATCACTGTGATCTGAATTAGAGAAGGTGCAGGTAGGAGGGGGTGACAGCCCACGAAGTCTGGGTACACATTGCGTAAGATGACGTGGAGAAAGCTTAGCCACTTCCTGTGACCCAAGTAAATGAATGGCCACTTCAAATAATTCAGATCCCGAGTGGCTGTGGGTTCATCTTTCTTTCTGGTTGGTGAATTATGTTTGTTAGAACTTTATTTTTAGCATGTCAGTACAGCTTTTTAAGTACCTTATTTTTATTCCTCTCACTCATCAATTACACACACGGTGTACCTTAGAACCTTGGGTTAAATTTTTGCAAGTTAAACCGAGGAATTTGGTTCACAGTTTGCTTTATCATGTTTCCTGTTTAATCGGATGAGAATTACACATGCGCGTATTCCCTTGTTCTTCGTGTTTATAGGAAAGACGCTGTTCTCGGCTACCTCATTATGTAGTGTTGTGCTTGATCCCCTGCCAGTTTAGAAGAATTCAACACATTCTGTCCTTTAACAAAAGCCTGGAAACAAGCAGTAAGCGGCCTTGAGGAATACAATTCTCTAAGGCGTAGTTTCCATTTTACTACTTTTTTTAAAAAAATAGGCACTTTTAATCAGGAGGAACAATAATTCTCCTAGAGCTGCTGCAAAGTGATTACTTGAAACTCAACTTGAACTTTAAAGAGTCTTTACAAGGCTATGTTTTCATAACGTAGAAAAGTAGTATATTTAAACACCACTGCTGTGTAAAATAGAGGGCTTCATTGCCATCGTCATTCAGATCAGACAGGAAATCTTGTCTGTCTGTAATTTGACCCAGTGTTTGGGATTTAGATGCTTGGGGCTACTGTTTTTCATATTCTATAAGGTGCTATTGGGAGCAGTTTAAGGGTCTGTTAGGTGTAGTTTCATGAATTTGTTTCCCAAGAATCTTAATTTTGATGAAAGTATAGGGCTCATCAAGAAGTTCCTCTTCTCTTTTAGTTCTGATAACCTGGGGTTTTAAAATGAAACTCTGAAAGTGCAGGGTTGAGTTGACCAAACAACACAGAACTGCATTTCGCTTAAAATCACTAGTGATCGGGTTTGTTTTGTGTGTCAGTGGAATGTCCCCAGCTTCCTCCCGTACGCACCATCTGCACAGGGCACGTGTGGGTGCTGTCCTCGCCAGCATCTGTCCGCCTACCTGGCTGGTGAGTGAGGGGGAGCTGCGGGGCCCATCGCTTCCCGTAGACAGACCTTCCCTTCCGGGGGTGACTTCTTATAGGAATTACCCAGTACCCTTCATGGCCAAAAAGAGTTATGCCCATTCCTAAAAACCTAGCATACTAGGAATAACTTACATACCAGGTGAGATCTAAAACCTTAACTGTCCCTGTGCATTAAGATTTAATGGATGTGCTTGTGCTTTGTAGACTAAAGAGCTTGCTGCTGACAAAGTCCTCCTCGGGTGGTTCTAGCCGTCGGCCATGAGGCATTCCCTTAGGTGGTTGCCAAGAGAACCAAGGTTCACCCCTCTAAAGCCCCAAGCTTTTGTATTGTAATTGTTTTGAGGAAAATATCTGTAAACATTCTCTGTACTGTCCCGAGTGAACCCAATGGTTGTGAGCACGCGTGGGCTTCAGGGCCGGGTGCACATGGGTTTAGAGATGCTGG